GGCTTCGAGGCTTCAGTAAGTCACTTAGCACTCTAAGGGCTGGACTGCAGGGTCACTGGGGTCCTTTCAAGCTCCCAAATCCATGTCCCCACTTGTGGTGAGTTCCCTCTGCTAGAAGGGTTCAGCAGAGGTGAGGGATGGTGGAGGAGGAGTCTGTTATGGAATGAGAGGTTGGAATAAAGCAAGCTTCAAATAGATTAACCACTGGCACCTGAAGGCCTCTAGCTACAGACGCACATCCACACTACATTAAAAAGTCCAAGGTAAAGTTCGTCCCTTTCTGTAGGCAGGCCCCAGAACATGAGCAGTCATTGTGTGGCAGTACTCAAATATGAAGCAGTCGCCCAGAAGAGCCAGGACACACATCTGTGAAGTTTTAAAGATTATCACCAAAAAAAAATTAAAGCACTTAAAAATGAAGGTGGAGAGCTCAGAGGCTCTGAGAACAAATTTACAAACATCTAAAGGTCCAAGAATTCCAGGCTGAGAACAAGTTGACCAGGTCACTCAGAAAGCATCAGATCTGGAAGGTTCTGTGAATCATGTATGGCACAAAAATTACCTGTTTGAGGTAAACTTCTAGTTTAGTTTACCTCCATGGAGATTTGATCATTATTGATTAAGGGTTGCTATTCAGCAACATTCACCATTGTGTTGTACCAGTCAGCGTCTGTTCTGATGGGTCGATACCGCAGTGTACTGGATGCTTACATGTTTAACACCACCTGGGCATAGGCAGAATAGAATGCATTGCTAGGGGTAAGCCCTGTGATATCCAACCTGCCCACCACCATTGTGAATCCCTGAAGCAGAGGCCAGTAGGTGCTATGGCTCTAATAAAAATAAACACCAGTGGTTAAATAATTGTAACATTTGTAATAACAATTGGTTTTTCATGTCTTTAATTTTGTTTGGCAGTATCCAAACTTCTATGAAAGAAAGAATGAATGAGGCCAGACATGATGGCTCATTCCGTTGGGAGGCCAAAGCGGGCAGATCACTTGAGGTCAGGAGTTCGAGACCAGCCTGGCCAACATGACAAAACTCTGTTTCTACTAGAAATATGAAAATTAGCCAGGTGTGATGGTGCACACCTGTAATCCCAGCTACTCAGGAGGCTGAGGCAAGAGAATCGCTTGAACCCAGGAGACGAAGGTTGCAGTGAGCCAAGATCGTGCCACCACACTCTAGCCTGGGTGAGAGAGCGAGACTTCGTAAAAAAAAATAAATAAATAAATAAAAATGAATAAGAGAGAGGAAGAAGGGGAAAGAGAGAAACATTTAATTACAGCTCTTGTAGGTGAGTACAACTAGGCAAAATATATAGGAACCTCACTCAATCTACCTATTCCCTTCATAAACGTCTTGGCATACAATGACTATCACCACTGTCAAATAGCTGTGATCAAATCACCTGTTATTCCTGAACTCAAAATTCACACAGACATGCACACACAAATACAGACAAGCATAATGTTTCACAAAATCTTGGAGGTAACACTCTACCAACTGTGCACACCTCCCACTGAGGAGGAATGAGCCAAGGATGACTATGTTCTGGTGTCTGACTATGTTCTGGTGTCTGGATAGATCGACGACTCACAGCTGTAAACGCCCAGGGACCTCCAAAGTGCTTGCTAGAGGCCTCTAAAAACAACGTTTCCTGATTCTAGAATTTAACCTTACACAAGCACTAAGTTCTAGCAAAACAGAAATAGGAAATACACCAGAGGCTCAAAACTTAAACATCAAACCCCAAATGTTCCTGATGAAGGAGGTTTCACTCACGTCCGTGTGAAGAGACCGCCAAATAGGCTTTGTGTGAGCAATAAAGCTTTTTAATCACCTGGGTGCAGGCGGGCTGAGTCCGAAGAGAGAGTCAGCAAAAGGAGATAGGGGTGGGGCCATTTTATAGGATTTGGGTAGGTAGTGGAAGATTACAGTCAAAGGGGGTTGTTCTCTGGCTGGCAGGGGTGGGGGTCAGAAGGTGCTCAACGGGCGAGTTTTTGAGCCAGGAAGAACCAGGAGAAGGAATTTCACAAGGTAATCTCATCAGTTAAGGCAGGAACAGGCCATTTTCACTTCTTTTGTGATTCTTCAGTTACTTCAGGCCACCTGGATGTATACGTGCAGGTCACAAGGGATATGATGGCTTAACTTGGGCTCAGGGGCCTGACAGGAAGTTTTATCAACAGCGTTTTGTTCAACTGAACTCACAGCCAAGAGCTGGCCACCTTCTGCTGTGGACATCACGAGCCAGTGAGGGAAGAATTAGGTCTTACTCAGAGTATGTCAGGGGTACTGCTAGAGCTGAGTTGCTGCTAATAAAGTCAGCTGAAATTACGCACAAAGGAACTTAAGTCCTGCTATTTCTGTTGCAGTTACAACTAGAAGACTACCACCTAAAGGCCTTTATATGCACCTCAGCACAGTTAGATTTAAATAGATGCACACATACACATTCTTTTTCGTCTTCTCAACAGCTAATGTTTTTCTCTACTTTACAGACAAGGCTGAAAAAAGCTAGCTTGATTTAGTTAGTGTCTCTGAGCAAAGGAATCACAGGACAATATGGAAATGCAGGGCTTTGATCTCCAGATCCTTTGCTCTTTCCTCAGTACCTCACCATCCTTCGCTTGCCTTCACATGTCAGTTCTGCCAAATGGACAAAGACTGTGACCACTAGCTTTTAGCCCTGACTGTTATGAACACGGTTTTGGGAGATCATCCTGACACATGTGTAAGAATTAAAGAAAGAGGAAAGAAACATGAAAGGTGGCTTGACAGTCAAGGACAGGTTTATTTTAGAGAAAGCAAATTTGAAAGGGGCTTCTGGCAGAGTTAGGTCAGAGCCCACTCACTTACAGACTAAGAGTTTTTAAGGATTTAGGGTGGGAGAGTTTATCAGAGGCTTGGATTGTTTTTGTATCTCTTTGTTGTGCTTATCTGGGAGGAAGAGTGTGTCCGTTCCCATACAATCTTTCTGCAGCTGTAGGTATACCCTGCCCCCCTCCAGTCTGCTTTTAGCTTTCCTATCTTAGTGTACCTGAAGGAAAAGGAATGTGCTTATTAAGGCCCATTGTTTTACTGGAAACTATTGTATGAGGGCAAAGTTTGGCAGTTACCCAAGAGACTTCCCCCGCCCCCTAACCTCCCTCTGTGCCAGAGCTGTCTTATCTGTATTTTACTCTCTTCTCTTTCTGGCTGCTTGCTGTTAGAAGGGAAGTGATTTCCTTGAAATGCATGAGGCTAGAAAGGGAACTGGAACTTAAAGTGGCGGTGTTTGTCTGAGATGAGATGACGGTGCTCCTGCCCTGTCAATATGGATTAGACATTCCCTCTGTCAAGCTACATTCAAATCCACGTGACAATCAGAGACATCAGAACAGTGTTCTTGTGAATATTCTTATAACAAATGTACTGTACATGAATTTGACTTTCACATAAATAATTATAAATGCAGGCACCACTGAGAATTGTTTTTCTTCATTCCTTGACATTTTTTTATGAGCATTCACATATCAAATGAAACACTCCTAATGCCCTTCCACGCCCCAAGCCATTCCAGTTCACCTGGCTGAAGGAAAATCCAGTAAATGAGGTCTGCCAGCAGGTTGTTCACATCCCCAGGACTTAGCTGCCTCGTCTATAAACAAAGGCGTTAACCACAGGACTTTGGATCTCCCTATGAGGGCTCACCTTCAAGGGTTCAAAATACAGTTCCAGGAATTAACAAAGAAAACTTCCTCTAGAAATTGAAAAAAAAAAACTCAAGTACATAAAAATATTCAAAATCTTAATGAAGAAAGCATCAAGGCGTCCTTACAGAGCCACTCCCTTCAGGCAAGCCAGACATCCCCTCTGCCAAGAAGAGCCCAGTGATCCTGAGAACAGCTTCAGTCTCTGACACAGCCTCTCTCCTCATCCCGCAGGCCAGAGGAGCAAAGTGTAGTAGTAGTGACAAGGTGGGGACTGTCCACTGCAGTCTACACTGCAGTTGCCAACCCTGAGGACATCCGGCCAACAGAAAGATGCTGGCCTGTAGACTGAGTCCTGATTCAAGCTTTGCCTGAAGCCAGTGTTATCCACTCCTGGGTTTCCATGTGAAAGAGGCAATAAATTCCCTTCTTTGCTTCAGTCAATTTGAATTGGGTGTTCTGTCAATGGCACCTGAAACCCCAACATTGATTTTTTTTTTTTTTTTTAAAACAAGGTCTCGCCCTGTTGCTCAAGCTGGAGTGCAGTTGTGTGATCTTGGCTCACCGCAGCCTCTGCCTCCCAGATTCAAGAGATTCTCTTGCCTCAGCCTCCCAAGTAGCTGGGATTACAGGTGCCCACCACCACGCCTGGCTAATTTTTGTGTTTTTAGTAGTGAAGAGGTTTCGCCGTATTGGCCAGGCTGGTATTGAACTCCTGACCTCAAGTGATCTGCCTGCCTCAGCCTCCCAAAGTACTGGGATTACAGGCATGAGCCACCGCACCCAGTCCAACATGGAATATGACATCAGGTTATAAAGTTTCTGCTTGCAGAGCAGCTGAGTGTAAATGAGCCATCATCTTCCTACAGGGAAACCTGTCTCTAACCAAATAAAAACTTCCTATGTGAGCACCTTCCTTACACAAAAGCAGGAAATGGGCCTGGCATAGACCAAATGTTCACCTCACTAGATATGCAGAAGAGAAGTCTTAGGAAGGGGGAGAGTACAGAGAGGGTGGCTGGACTGTAACCTCATTGTCCAATGTTCAAGGCCACGCAGAGGGGACACAGAATTATAACTAAGGGGTAGTTGTCTAGAGAGGCAATCTAAGCTCAGTCTAGCCTAAGAACGTGGTTCTTTGAACACCAGGGAATCTTAAAATGTCCCTGGTCCCCAGGTCAGACACAGTATTTCACACGTATAGTCCCAGAACTTTGAGAAGCTGAGGTGGGAGGATCACTTGAGCCCAGGAGTTTGAGACCAGCTTGGACAACATAGTGAAACCCCATCTCTACATTAAAATACAAAAGTTAGCTGTGCATGGACACACACCTGTAGTCTCAGCTACTTGGGAGGCTGAGGTGGGAGGATCGCTTGAACCTGGGAGGTCAAGGCTGCAGTGAACAGTGATCCCACCACTGCACTCCAGCCCAGGTGACGGAGCGACTCTGTCACAAAAAAAAAAAAGTACCTGCACAAACCAAGGTCAATTACTCTCTCTTCAGGGTACACATCCAAAACCAAGGCTACAATCCAAGTCTTCAATAAGGAAAGTTTTCTGGCCAGGCGTGGTGGCTCGTGCCTATAATCCCAGTATTTTGCGGACAGAGGTGGGAGGATCACTTGAGTCCAGGAGTTTGAGACCAGCCTGTGCAACAAAGTGAGATCCCTCCGTCTCTACAAAAAATAAAGAATAAAAAATATCCAGGCATGGTGGTACACACCTGTGGTCCCAGCTACTTGGGAAGCTGAGGTGGGAGGATAGCTTGAGCCCGGGAGGTCGAGACTACAGACAGCCGAGATTGCCCCCCTGCACTCCAGTCTGGGTGACAGAATGAGACTGTCTCCAAAAAAAGGAGTGTTTTCTAACATTTAGACTTGTCAAAAGAAAAAGAAAATCGGAATTGACTGTGTCAGAAAACAGGGTGTTTCCTGTTTCTAGAATGCCAAGTGGAGACCACCGATTCCTGTGCTGGGCAGGAGGCTGGAGGATACAGACAATGATTCGTTTGAAGTCTAAGAACCAACAAAAACTCTCTGCTATAATGAAAGTGCATCCAGGGGCACAGGGAATACTAGTTTTTTCCTTAGTGTGAAAGCAGGCTGGGGCATCTGTTTCTTTGTTCCCTCTTTGTCCACTCGTCGACTCACATCATCGTTGACAGCAGTGAGGATGGATAAGATGTCTTCCTCTCTGCAACAAAGAAGAAAACAATTTTTTTTTAACAGAGTCTCACTCTGTCACCCAGGCTGGAGTGCAGTGGAACAATCTCAGCTCACTGCAGCCTCCACTTGAATTCAAGTGATTCTCATGCCTCAGCCTCCCAAGTAGCTGGGATTACAGGTGCCTGCCACCACACTCGGCTAATTAGTAAAGACAGGGTTTCACCATATTGCTTGCCCTGGCTGGTCTCAAACCCCTGACCTCAGGTGATCCGCCCACCTCAGCCTCCCAAAGTGCTGGGATTACAGGCATGAGCCACTGTGCCTGGCCCAGAGAAGAAACTTTTTTCAATCAGGAGGTAGAAACCACACACCAGGTCTTAGAAAAGACACCAGGTACCATGTACCAGGTCTTAGATCAACAAATATGCAGCAGATGCCACAGATACCAACAATGCCCTCTCTATCTGTAGCCTTGGGAGAGATACAAAGATAAACATGACACAATTCCTGAAGTTAAACACTTAGAATGCAGATATAAAACATTTACCAAGGATGGCATATACACAATATTCATAACACAAGGCAGAATGTGGTCGACACCAAATGAAAGGTCAAGGTTCCGCTCCAAGTTCAGAGGAGAATGCACTCCTAGTTGGGAGGGAGAGAAAAGGCTTCATGCAGGTGGTAGCATTTGAGCCTGCACTTGCAGGACATATAGCATTTAGCAGAACGTTCTCAGGGCGGGCAATACATATCACTGGAAGCAAGCACAGGTTCTGAAAACAGATTCAGTTTTAAATTGTGGCTCCATCACTCATTCATTGTGTGCTCTTAGGCTGGTTACTCACTGCTGCATACCTCGGTTTTCCCAGCTCTAAAAGAGGAACCATAACAGTCCCCATCTTAGGGGTTGCTGAGAGCATCAAAGGATGTATATTGGGTCAAGCACTTAGAACACTGGCTACACTGTTCTGCTGATCATCATTTTTAGTATTAGTATGACTACCCTCATCCCCTCATCCTTATCCTCACTATTTTTCAGGGAAGGGATACAGGCCCCTACCTGCTCTCAATCCCTGCATCTTGCTTTGCACCTGCTCTCTATTCCCAAATCTTCCTGTGTCTGTTTTCTTCTTACCACTTAGTCTCACCTGAAATACTACCTGCACCAAGAAGCTATCATTATCCTGTTTTAATTGGTTCATGGCGGGGATCACTTTCTGAAATTGTCTCTTTTTGTTAGAGACAGGATCTTGCTCTGTTGCCCAGGCTAGACTGCAGTAATGCAATTGTAGCTCACTACAGCCTCAAACTTCTGGGCTTAAGCAATCCTCCTACTTCAGACTCCCTAATAGCTAGGACTACAGGTGCATGCCACCACACCTCGCTAATTTTTTTCTTATTAATTTAAATATTTATATTAATATTAAATAATAATTGAATAAAACTATTAAATAAATATTAAACAATTAAAATATTACTAATTTAAATATTAAACACTGAAAACTATAAAACATTGATGAAAGAAAGTGAAGAGAACACAAATAAATGGAAAGATATCTCATGTTCATGGGTTGGAAGAATTAATCTTGTTAAAATGACCATACTACCCAACATGACCTACAGATTTAATGCAGTCTCTATCAAAATACCAGTGACAAGCCAAGTGCAGTGGCAAATGCCTGTAGTCCTAGCTACTCGGGAGTCTGAGGTGGGAGGATTGCTTGAGCCCAGGAGTTCAAGTCTAGCCTGGACAACATAGCAAGACCCTATCTCTACAACAAGACAAAACAAAAACAAACAAACAAAAATTACATTCTTCACATAAACAGGAAAAAAAATCCTAAAATGTATATGGAACCACAAAAGACCCCAAATAGTGAAAACAATGCTGAGCAAAAAGAACAAAGCTAGAGGCATCACACCACCTGACTTCAAAATATACTACAAATCTAGAGTTACCAAAACAGCATGGTACTGGCACAAAAACAGACACATAGATCAATGGAACAGAATATAGAGCCCAAAAATAAATTCACACACCTACAGCCAACTGATTTATGACAAAGGTGCCCAGAACATACAATAGGTAAAAGAAAATCTCTTCAAAAAACAATGCTGGGAAAATTGGATATCCACATGCAGAAAAAGTAAGACTGGGCCGGGCGCGGTGGCTCAAGCCTGTAATCCTAGCACTTTGGGAGGCCGAGACGGGCGGATCACAAGGTCAGGAGATCGAGACCATCCTGGCTAACACGGCGAAATCCCGTCTCTACTAAAAACACACAAAAAAATTAGCCAGGCGAGGTGGCGGTGCCTGTGGTCCCAGCTACTCGGGAGGCTGAGGCAGGAGAATGGCGGGAACCCGGGAGGCAGAGCTTGCAGTGAGCTGAGATCTGGCCACTGCACTCCAGCCTGGGCGACAGAGCGAGACTCCGTCTCAAAAAAAAAAAAAAAAAAAAAGAAAAAGTAAGACTGACCACTTATCTCTCACCACATACAAAAACCAACTCAAAATGTATGAGACTTAAATGTAAAACCTGAAACTATGAAGCTACTGCAAGAAAACATGGGGCAAACATATCACGACATTGGGTTGGGCAAGGATTTTTAAAATAAGACCTCAAAAGCACAGACAAAAAAGCAAAATCAGACAAATGAGATTACATCAAATTAAAACCCTTTTGCACAGAAAAAAAAAACAGAATGAAGAGACAATCTACAAATGGGAAAAAATATTTGCAAACTATACATCTCACAAGGGGTTAATATCTAGAATACATAAGGAACTTAAACAACTCAACAGCAAAAAAAACAAATAACCCCATTTAAAAATGGGCAAAAGACTTTAACAGACATTTCTCAAAAGAAGACATGCAAATGGTCGACAGGTATAAGAAAAAAGTAAATAGTTTAAGCCAAAATAAATGATTTCGACTCATTAGATTATGACAGAACATACTTACCAAATGCCCTCTATTTACATAAATATCATACGAGCATTTATCATCACTTCTGGGGGTATTAATCTATCAATCCCACCTAATATCATCCCTCCTATGCCTAGAAGGAATAATATTATCATTATTCATCATAAATACCCTTATCGTTTTAAATACACACTTCATCCTAGCAAATATCATACCCATTACTCTACCAGTATTTGCTGCCTGTGAAGCCACGGTAGGCCTTGCTTCACTAGTTTCAATTTCCAACACATATGGTTTAGGCTATGTACGTAACCTAAATTTACTTCAATGCTAAAAATTATTATTCCAACAATTATACTGCTACCAATAACATGACTCTCTAAAAATTATATAATCTGAATCAATATGGCTACCCACAGCCTAATCATCAGCTTCATTGCCCTATTATTCTTTAACCAATTCAACGATAATCTATTCAACTTCTCATTAACTTTCTCCTCTGATCCGCTAATATCACCCCTTCTAATGTTAACAGCCTGACTACTACCTCTTACAATTATAGCAAGCCAGTACCACCTCTCCAGTGAATCACCCCTATGGAAAAAACTGTATTTCCATATTGAGTTCCCTACAAATTTTTCTAATCATAGCATTTACAGCCACAGAACTAATTGTATTTTATATTCTCTTTGAAGCTACACTTATCCCTACCTTAATTATTACCACCCGATGGGGTAACCAACCAAAACACCTCAATGCAGGTACATATTTCTTATTTTACACACTAGTGGGATCCCTCCCCCTACTTATGATACTTACTTATGCCCAAAATATCCCAGGCTCACTGAGCATGATAATAATAACATTTAGTACTCAAGAACTACCAATCTCTAGATCCAACAATCTCATATGATTGGCATGAATAATGGCCTTCATAGTAAAAACACCCCTATACCAACTTCGCCTATGACTTCCCAAAGCCCATGTATAAGCACCTATTGCCGGCTCAACAGTACTTGCAGCAGCGCTCCTAAAATTGGGCGGCTATGGCATAATGCGACTTACCCTCATCCTCAGCTCTCTGACAGAACATATAGCCTATCCTTTCCTGATATTATCCTTATGAGGCATAACTGTGACAAGCTCTATCTGTCTACGACAAACTGATCTAAAGTCAGTCACTTATTGCATATTCCTCCGTAAGCCACATGGCACTTGTTGTTGTAGCTATCCTCATTCAAACCCCCTGAAGTGTTACCGGTGCAATTATCCTCATAATTACCCATGGACTTACTTCGTCCCTACTATTCTGCCTAGCAAATTCAAACTACAAGCGAATCCACTGCTGAATCATATTACTCTCTCGAAGACGTCAAACATTACTTCCACTAATAACCTTTTGATGACTCACAGCAAATCTCACCAACCTTGCCCTACCTGCCACTATTAATCTAGAAGGAGAACTCCTTGTAACAATGGCTTCATTCTCCTGATCAAACATTACTGTCATGCTCATAGGACTTAGTATATTAATCATAGCCCTTTATCCCCTCTATATACTTGTCACAACACAACGAGGAACACTAACATACTATATTAACAGCATTAAACCTTCCTTTACACTAGAAAACATACTAATATTTACACACCTTTCACCAATTCTCCTACTATCTCTAAATCCTAAAATTATTATAGGACTTACACCTTGTAAATATAGTTTAATCAAAACGTTAGATTTTGGGTCTAATAACAGAAGTCCGCAACTTCTTATTTACCGAGAAAGTATGCAAGAACTGCTAACTCATGCCCCCATGCCTAACAACATGGCGTTCTCAACGTTTAGAGGAGGAGAGTTATCCATTAATCTTAGGAACCAAAAATATTGGTGCAACTCCAAATAAAAGTAATAATCATGTATTTTTCCATTACTATAATAACCTAATCTCCTTAACCTTACCAATTATTATTACCTTTATCAACCCTCGCAAAAAGAACTCATATCTATACTAAGTAAAAACAGCTATCACATGCACTTTCACCATTAGCCTCATTCCCACAACATTCGTGTGTACAGACCTAGAAGCCATCATCTCAAACTGATATTGAACAACAATCCAAACCCTAAAAGTCTCATTAAGTTTCAAACTAGACTACTTCTGCATAATGTTTATTCTAGTAGCACTATTAATCACTTGATCTATTATGGAATTCTCAATATGATACATAAAGTCAGATCTGAACATTTATCAGTTTTTCAAATACCTACTTATTTCCTCACCACAATATTAATTCTAGCTACCGCCACAACCTTTTCCAACTTTTTATCAGATGAGAGGGCGTAGGAATTATATCTTTTCTACTAATTGGCTGATGACATGGCCAAGCAGATGCTAACACAGCAGCGTCCAAGCAATTCTATACAATCGCATTGGTGACATTGGCTTTAATTTTAGCTATAGCATGATTCCTCTCATCCTCCAATACATGAGAGCCTCAACAAATACTTATCCTTAACCCTACCCCCAACCTTCTTCCATTAATTGGTTTTCTCTTAGCAGCAGCAGGAAAATCAGCCCAACTTGGCCTCCACCCCTGACTTCCTTCCGCTGTGGAAGGCTCAACCCCAGTCTCAGTCCTGCCTGACTCTAGCACTATAGTTGTGGTGGGAGTTTTCCTACTTATCCGCTTCCACCCCTCAACATCACTAATCATCACGGAAATGCAAATCAAAACCACAATGACAGCTGGGCGCGGTGGCTCAGGCCTGTAATACCAGCACTTTGGGAGGCTGAGGTGGGTGGATTACTTGAGATCAGGAGTTCCAGATCAGCCTGGCCAACGTGGTAAAACCCTGTCTCTACTAAAAATACAAAAATTAGCCAGGTGTGGTGGCACATGCCTGTAATCCCAGCTACTCGGGAGACTGAGGCAGAAGAACTGCTTGAACCTGGGAGGCAGAGGCTGCAGTGAGCTGAGATTGCACCACTGCACTCCAGCCTGACAGAGCGAGATGTTGTCTAAAAAACAAACAAAACAAAAAACCCACAGTGAGATGTCACTTCACTCAAGTTAGAATGGCTATTATCAAAGAAACAAAAGAAAACACATGTTGGCAAGGATCTGGAGAAAAGGGAACACTTATGCACTGTTGGTGGTATTTAAATTAGTACAGTCATTATGGAAAATAGTATGCCAGTTCCTCATAAAATTAAAAATAAAAAATACTATATGATCCAGCAATCCCCATACTAAGTATACAGACAAAGAAAACGCAATCAATATGTCAAAGAGATATCTGCACTCCCTATTTACTGCAGCATTATTTACAATAGCCAAGATATGGAATCAACATAAGTGTCCAAAAATGGATATATGGATAAAGAAAATGTGATATTTATAAGCGACAGAATACCATTCAGCCATAAAAAAGAAGAAAATTCTGACATGTCTGACAACATGAATGAGCCCAGAGAACATCATGTTAAATGAAATAAGCAAGACTCACAAAAAAATCTGCATGTTCTCACTCATGTGGAATCTTTGTTTAAAAAGTTGATATCGTAGAAGCAGTGAGTGAAACAGCAATTATGGAGATGAGAGGGAAGGAAGGAAGGGAAGATGAGGAGAGGTTAGTCAGTGGGTACAAAGTTACAATTAGATAGGAGGAATAATCTCTGGTGTTCTATTGCACAGTGGGGTGACTATGGTTAATAGTAAGGCATTCTGAGTTGGGCACTGTGGCTTGAGCCTACAATCCTAGCTACTTATAAGGCTAAGGCAGGAGGATTGCTTGAGCTCAGAAGTTCAAGACCAGCCTGGGCAACATGGTGAGATCCCATATTTAAATCAATTGATCAATCAGTAAGGTGTTGTATATTACAAAATAGCTAGAAGAGAGGCTTTTAGAGGTTCTCACCACAAAGAAATGATAAATGCATGAGGTGATGGATACACTACCCTGATTTGATCATTATACAACACATACATGTATTGAAATATCAAATTATAACCCTGAAATATGTAGTTATGAAGTATTAATTAAAAATAACAAAGAAATTTCTGGAGTACCAAAAAAAAAACCAGACATTGCTTAATTATGCATGTATACTGTCTCCTTTTAATATTGTTGAATTTTTAAAATAATAATAATTTAAATATTCACATATTTTTATTATCTGTCCTTCCTTTACTGGACTTTTAGCTCCCTGGAGAGCAGATTTTGTCTCTCTTGTACACAGCTGCACCTCCAGCCCCCAGTTCGGTACCCAGTACAGTAAGCACATAGTATGACCTCAATAAATATTGCCTTGTTACTGAAGCCATAGACATTAGCCTCTGATGTCTGTGATGAGGATGGAGGGGCTGGTAAAGAAGAGAGAAAAGCAAAGTTGACTCAAGACTCCAATCCTGAATTCCCAGAAGAGCACTACGGCCATTCCTTCAAATGGAAATTCAGGAGCTCCTGGAGAAGTCTGGGAAGATGAGCTCAGAAACATGTATGCTGAATGTGAGGTCCAAGGGCTAAACAGAGGTAGGATATCTAGCGGGCTGTTAATGAGATGGGCTCAAGCAAGTCATTCATTGGCCCAGCAAATGTTTAACAAGCTCACAATATATCAGGTCAGGGGCTGAGGATATAAAGTTAAATGAAACAGGGTCTCTGCCCCCCAGGAATTCAGAGATGAGTGGGCCAGAGATGGCAACTTTGGAGACGTTTTCATGGAGGTGCCCATGGCCTCTAGATATAGCTAAAGCTGCCAAGAGGAGAGCATGTGGCAAAGACAGAAGGCAAGCTGTCAGAGCAGTGGCAAATAGAATGCCAAAGATAGCACATAAGTGCTCAGGAAATAGGAGTGAGTGATAAATAAACAAAGGAACAAATAAAAGGCCCCCATGCTTTTGTTCACACTACTCCCTCTGCCCAGCATATCTTTCACCTGATTCTTTACCTAACATCTATTTGTCATTTCTAGAAGCCTCCTCTGATCCTTCAAATCTGGGCAAGGTAGTCATTCTGCATGTTCCCATAACACCTATACTTCACAATGTGCACTTACCAGCTGGGGATGCCCTTCCCCGTCTGTTTGTCTATCCCTCTAGCTTGTAAGCAACCTGAGGGCAATGACCCTGTCTTTTTTTTTAACTTTATCTTCCTTTCCAGGTCCAGGCTGGTACTCAATACAAGGTTGCTAGATGGATAGATGGATGGATGGATGGATGGATGGATGGATGGATGGATGGATGGATGGATGGATGGATAAATAGATAAACAGAAAGGTAGGCAGATGGATGAACAGGTACATGGACAGAACAATTTAGAACTCTCACCCTTACCAAAGGTGTTGAATGAGAGTAAAATAAAAAATAAATAAAACTAATTAATTAAAAATGGAAGAAAAAAAAGAACTCTCACCTTGGGACCAAGACCTTCAGATGATTACACAGAGACTGAATATACCAGCTGCCTTCCTCCACATGCCGAAAGGATACATAGCCTGGGACAGTGGCCAGACCAAGTAGGAAGTCAGCCTCGACGGGAATACTGTCCTGCAGGGAAGTGGGTGCCTGCTCAGGGTTCAGAGCATCTGCTTCGATGGATTTGGAAAGCTGTATCTTTTCACCTTGGCAGGCCTGGATGAAAAAGAGTTTAGGTTTTTCAGCCAGTCCAGGGCACTGCAGGGCTGTGAAGTGAGACATGATTTCCCGAATGGGAATGAGGGCCTCATCCGAAGAGTAGACAGCTCCATCTTCCCCATGGGTCAGAATACAGAACACGAAGCAGTCCCCGTCGGCATGGGCTGGATTGCACTTCTCCTTCTGCAGGACCTCCTCCATTTCCCCTTTCGTCACATCATTGTATATATGCACTGTGAACCCAAGCCACTGGAACACACCCGTCAGGATCTCTGTTTAAAAAAGAAAAAAAAAAGAAGAGAGAGAGAGAGAGAAAGGGGAAATAAAAAAATGATGCAAAACAAAATGAAGAACTTAAACAAGGCCGGGTGCAGTGGCTCACACCTGTAATCTCAGCACTTTGGAAGGCCGAGGCAGGTGGATCACTTGAGGTCAGGAGTTTGAGACCAGTCTGGCCAACATAGCAAAACACCATCTCTACTAAAAATACAAAAATTAGCCAGGTGTGGTGGCTCACGCCTGTAATCCCTGCTACTCGGAAGGCTAAGGCATGAGAATGGCTTGAGCCTGGGAGGCAGTGGTTGCAGTGAGCTGCAACTACACCACTGCACTCCAGCCTGGGCAACAGAGCAAGGCTATGTCTCAAAAAAAAAAAATGAAATGATGCTAATAGTTACAAAAATTGCACAGCAAATAGCCTAAAGCTTTGGATTATTTTTATTTTCATAACCATAAAATCTTACAATGAATCTCCTATCATGTAATACCCAGTGTTGTCACAACAGTCCTGAGAATTGGCAGTGGCCAGTGTTTCATTTCATCTGTTTCACAGTTGAAGAAGCTGAGGTCTCGACTCTCCCATGATCACACACCTAGTTAGTGGTGGAGTTGGAGCTCACACCCAGGATGTCTCGTGCCAGTCCAGCATGCTCTCCCCCAGTACACGCTCTCCTCTATTCAGAATTGTGAATAGTCAAAGACTTGCTACTCTTTAGCAGACTGGGTGATGCCCCAGGGATATACAAGAGGCTCAGAAACATAATAATCATCCTTACACATATGTGGAAAATAAAAGTCACAGAAAAAATGTGAAAATAAAAAATAACTTTAAGATCCCCAATTTGCACTTGATAAACTATTCTAGACTTTCTTACCAGCATCTTTATGGGTTCCTCGTCTGTCCCGCAGGGAGATAAACCTGTGGTTGTTGACAATGACACAGAGGCCTCTGTGGTTCCGATTCATCCTGTACGTAGGTGCCCACTTGAAGAACAGATAGAGCCACTTAGTAGGAATCCTCATCTTAGGGCCTTAAATGTTTCTAACCAACCATACCAATGGGTCCACTGTGAGGAAGAGCAGGATGTATCTCTCCATGCCAGTTGTTTAAACCATGTTTGTTGTTGTTGTTGTTGTTTTGAGACAGAGTCTCACTCTTATTGCCCAGGCTGGAGTACACGATCTCGGCTCACTGCAACCTCTGCTCCCAGATTCAAGGGATCCACCTGCCTCAGGTGCCCACCAACACCCCCAGATAATTTTTTATTTTTGGTAGAAGTAGGGTTTCACCATGTTGGCCAGGCTGGTCTTGAACTCCTGACCTCAAGTGATCTGCCCACCTCAGCCTTCCAAAGTGCTGGGATTACAGGCGTGAGCCACCATGCCTGTCCAAAACCATGTTTTTATACTCTAGTCTAAACCCCTTGGAATATTTATGCCACATTATTTCCAAAGTCACTTTTTTTTTTTTTTTTTTTGAGACGGGAGACTCGCTCTGTCGCCCAGGCAGGAGTGCAGTGGCGCGATCTCGGCTCACTGCAAGCTCCGCCTCCCAGGTTCATGCCATTCTCCTGCCTCAGACTCCGGAGTAGCTGGGACTACAGGCGCCCGCCACTGCGCCCGGCTAATTTTTGTATTTTTAGTAGAGACGTTTGAAAGACTGGGGATTCTGACCACTCTGCAACTCACTTTTACTGCATAATTGTGATCTGAATAAAATTTCAAAGATTCTTTGTTAAGTCCTAGAGCCCAGGACAAAGGATAAATCTCATTTGCACTGAAGATCAGACACTTCCTTTCTTTCAGGATGCCACTCCCAGTATCAGAGGCAGAGAGTCCTCAAGATCCTGGCCCTAGTGTGGAATTAGCTAATTAATTTCAAGGGGAAATACCAGGTCCTGATTAAAATTCAGACTTCACCTGGTTTGGCTGGAGAAGCGCAATCATGAAAGTTAAGAAAATGGAATATGTATATTAATATTGTCAAACCCAGGGTTTATGCAAAAGTATCTTCATTTTCATATTAGCAACACGAATGAAGAAAGCATATGCAAGGATTTCATGAGACAACATAAATATCAAAGATTTTTTTCAGATGGTTCACTTCTGGAGTGATCTGATGCCTTCAGAAAAAGGGAAATCTCTTTTGTAATTTTATTTCTGAGTATAAAAATAATATACAAGCTGGCATGATGGTACTCGGGCGGCTGAGGCAGGAAAATTCCTTGAGCTTGAGAGTTCAGGACAAGCCTGGGCAATATAGCGAGACCACCATCTTTAAAGATATATGAATATATATATGTGTGTGTATATATATCTATATACTTAATATACAAGTATATATAAAGTATACTTATATATAAAGTATATATATAAATGTATATATTCTTATATATAAAAATGGCTGATATATATTCATATATATATATAAAGATGGCTGTATATTCAATTTTAAAAATTCAATATATAAATATAAAAATTCAATATATAAATTCACAGTAGGAATTTAAAAATATGTGCAATTATTTTTGAAGACTATTGTAAACAGCATGTGATGGCAAATTAGCTGAGCTGCTTTAGCAGAGCCTCTGTGCAGCTAAAATCATCCTTGAAATCATGGTACATCTTTATCCAAGCAGAAAATAAGTGGCTTCAATGGATAAGAAAAGAAACTACCCCTCTCCAGAAATAACCCAAAGGGTATGCATGACTCAAAGTGCAATAGCATTTCCTCCATAGTCAAAGGGATCAATCACTTCTGATTGATAAGAAAAAGGTGGGAAGAACAGAGATCATTATAGAGAGAGGGAGAAACAAGTTGGAAACAAACAGCTTGGAGCCCTTAAAGTCATCAAAGGCCAGAACCTAGGGAGAGAGCCCCTAAAGAAACCGTCCTTTTGATTGAATTTGGGGGAAAAAAAAAAGTTTTTTATTAAAAACAGAGAAAAAAGAAACCATCCAGACCTTTGTGCTGGTTTCAGAGTTTAGAGTGTTAGCAGATGCTCCTTGCAACCCCTTGGAGACCAGGCTTGGTGCACCATCTGTGGCTCTGTTACCTAGAAAGAGAGGTACTCAGACCCCAAATATCTTCCCCAAGCACTTAGATTTCTTTACTGATAATTTTCGCATCTAATTCTGGAGAATTATGCTTCTCTCAAGGCCCTCCTGAGACAATTCAGCCACCATGCCTTTCCTGATAGGAGAGACTGATGTGTCTTCGCATTCCTTTTTGCTTTGTCTGGGTTGGAACTATGCTGCTGGCAGGGATTGGGTGGGGAATTGATTAAGATCGCATGGATCAGCTCAAGGGTTCCAGGTCAAGTATGGTTGGGTTGAGTCAGCATTTATGTCACTGGATATAAAGAGGCTAGGTAGACCTCGAGAAGAAAAAAGAGGGACACTGGGCGTGGTGGCTCATGCCTGTAACCCCAGCACTTTGGGAGGCCAAGACGGGCAGATCGCTTGAGCCCAGGAGTTCGAGACCAGCCTGGACAACTTAGTGAGACCCCCCCAATCTCTAGAAAAAAAAAAATACAAAAAATTAGCTGGGCATGGGGACACACACCTGTAGTCCCAGCTTCCTGGGACGTTGAGGTGGGAGGATCACCTGAGAGGTCAAGGCTGCCATGAGCTATGATGGCACCACTGCACCATATAGCCTGGGCAACAGAGTGAGACCCTGCCTCAAAAAAAAAAAAAAAAAAGAAAAGGAAAAAAGGGAAAAAGAAAGTTCCAGCTGGGCATCAGCTGAGGATCACACTGCTTTGAAGTGTTCCTGCCAACTCCCTGATTCATCTGGATTCTGTCACAGAGAGAAAGTCAGCGATGGGTTATTTGTCACATGACACTAAACAGGAAAATGTAACATCAAACAGTTTTCTTTTTTCATTCGCAGAAAATTTGTAGTAGAATCCACCAAACTCTGTCCTTGTCTCTGGGGCATGAGTTGGTTATTAACTACTGCTAAGGGTCAGTCCTCAGGCTGAGCAAGTCCATATTCCCCAGACCAGAAAACACAGCAAAAGGGATCCAAGCTTCAGTGGCTCAGAGCACCTATAAATTCCTCCTTACCATGGGAGGAGGTAACGCTCCAGGGGAAGTCACGTCTAAATTTTGGAACCGCAGAATTGTAAAGCTGAAAGAAACTGCCTTATTCTTCAGAGGGGTGAAGCAGTCACCTGAGCTCACATAAATAGACAGTGGGAGAGCCTAGTCTTAGGAGAGTAAGCTCTGGAATCAGACTGCTGGGTTCAAATCCCAGCTTCGCTTCTTTTTAGCTGCAGTGCCTTTTAGCTGCAGTGCAAAGCACTAGATTTCATGGGTCTCAGTTTCCTCATCATTAGTGAGAATAACAGTAGTACCTACCTCCAGTGATTGGAGGACTGAATGACACAATCCCTGGAATCTCTCTGAACAGTGCCTAGTACGTGACAAGTGCTTAACCTGGTCAATGTTATCAACATCATAGCACACAACCTCCATGTTAGGCAAAAAGAGAAATTGCTAGCAAAGCTGTGTGTCTTGGACTCTGAAGGATAATTTTCCAGAAAAATAAATAAATAAGGAATGGTCTGTGACAAACTTTCGATACCACAGAAAGACTTCGCCAAAGCCTGTTTGTTCATAAGCAGTTTAACCTGATGGCAGATTCTGGAATATTTTCCTAAGGTTATGGTTTCTGGGCAGGGATTCAGGGAACTAAACACACTATCCTCAAGTCCCTCCTCTTGCTTCTTCTCTCCCTCTGAAGCAACATGTGGAACCACTCCATAGAGGACACGCGCCCAGACTGCACATTCTGCTGTCACTACTGGTCTGAAGGCTTCAGCCCTGCTGGGGACTGTTTCTGCTGCACAGAGGGTGACGTAATTCTGAACGGTGGAGGGAGAACAGCCGCCTGCAGTCTCTAGAATCTGCTATACTAGGCATTCGGAGCAGAAACCACCCAGCCCTCTCCATACTGCCATAGAAAAGCCTAGTATAATCCATGCATTCAATGTCTTGCCCTGAATTGGAATAAAAAATGAATTATTCATTATTTGTAAAGTCTCTCTTCCAAGTCACCTTGAATTCCTTTATATATATCAAATATGTCTATCCCTGCCATACTGATCTAAGTTGTAAAAAGTATATTAGAAACACCTACCATTACTCCTTGCATGCTTACCTTGCCAGGACTCCTCCTGCTGAGAAAAAAAAAAAAAAAAAGGCATAAAACGTAGGAAATTCACACAGTTAGCATGAGGAACAAAAACTAGACTTGATGCAGGAAAGCACAGATATCTAATCCACAGTCATAGAAAAGGTCATTGGGCCAGTTGCGGTGGCTCCTGCCTGTAATCCCAGCATTTTGGGAGGCCAAGGCAGGTGGATCACCTGAGGTCAGGAGTTTGAGACCAGCCTGACCAACATGGTGAAACTCTACCTCTACTAAAAATACAAAAATTAGCTGAGTGTGGTAGCGAACACCAGTAATCCCAGCTACTCAGGAGGCTGAGGCAGGAGAATTGCTTGAACCCAGGAGGCAGAGGTTGCAGTGAGCCGAGACGGCGCCACTGCACTCCAGCCTGGGTGACAGAGCAAGACTCTGTCTCAAAAGAAAAAAAAGAAAAGTTCTTTGGCAGGAAATGGGAAGAGAACCAACTCTCTCCATCCAAAGGAGAAGGTTCAGAAAGACGCACTGGCAAAAATACAGTGTGACATACACTCAAGGGTACTTATTCATTGCAGCATTATTTGCACTAAGGACTGGAAATAGCCTAATGTCCACTAATAGGAAGTGGTTGAAAAACCGTGGTATGTCCACATAGTGGAGTAAGATGCCAAGGACAGCCTCTATACCCTTCTCCAGGGGAAGCTGTCATATGGAGAAAGCAAAATGAAATGGTATTTGAGTACACTACCTCTTTTGTAATAAAGGGAAGATATGGGTTGGATTTTTTTCAAAAGTAACAATAAGATAAATCAAAAAACAAATAAAAATGGTATTCGAGGCGGGGAGGAGAGGCAAGGATGCACTACTTTGGGCATATGTTAATGTTTTATATAATTTAATACAAAGTTAAAACAAAGTCTAAGACCCTGTCTTTTCTGCACCCTCCTCCCCATTCACCATTACCCCTTTCCCCCTATGACTCTCAGCCGTCAGCCTGCAGCAGAAAGCCCCCAAGGGGACCTGACCAAGGTGTGGGGGAAGGGCTGCCCCTGACCTGTGTGAGGGGACTGACAAGTCACCCCCAAGTTCCTGCGGATGCCTCCCTGCTCAAGCCCCCAGGTTTCAGAGCTGCACAATACTGTCATTTGCTCCCCCAGCTCTGGGGGAACAAATGCAAAGGAGACTTAGCTTCACTTTCCAAAAGGCTTCCTGCCTTTCTTTTCATAAGCCACTGTTCCCTTCCTGCAGAATCCTAGATTTCTTCTAAGCGGCAGACAAGGACCTGGCCAGACTGCCTTCTGGTTTTGTCCAGCAGTTGAGTGAGTCTTCTGGGACTAGGGGCAATGCAGACACAGCAGCAGGCTCTGCCCAGCCCCTCCAGGCCCTGGCTTTCCTTGATTTGTTCTTCCCTTGGCTGATAAAGTCAGCCAGAACACGGACTAGAAAAAAGATTTAAGGTCTAATCTGCGTTTCTTCTCCTGAGAATGTTGCATCCTCTGTTGACACCTCTCAAGTCTCTATGTCAGAGAGGAATGAATGAATGAATGAATGAGTGAATGTCGCACAGCCTGGCCACACTCAATCATCTTTCAACTTCTTTTGATTGTTTCCAAGAGGAGTCCAATAGGGCCTTATAAAGAAGCAGGTGAGCCGGGCGCGGTGGCTCAAGCCTGTAATCCCAGCACTTTGGGAGGCCGAGACGGGCGGATCACGAGGTCAGGAGATCGAGACCATCTCCTGGCTAACACGGTGAAACCCC